CCTGTGATTCCTTAATGTCTTTTGTCTACTTCGTGAAGTATAGAAAGAGATAAGAAACTGAATGAATATAGTCTCGAAGTGGAAACCTGGGTTTGGCGATTCCATTCCTCTTTTCCTTTTGTGAGTTCTACTTCGTTTGATGAACGAACTCAATCAAACTCAACCGAACCCTTTCGTTCTATTTTAAAAGTTCAAAAACCGAACCTTCGATGTGATACGCCGGGCAATTGAACTTAGCTATGTCACAATAATGGCAAAACCGCTGTTAACGGCTACAACCCGAAACCTCACTCTGGTTAAGCCCGTCAGCGAAACAGCGCCTAATCCTTGTTCTGGATCACCACCAGTGTACCAGGGGTTTGAGTACGCGCCACGATTGGTCTATTAAAAATGTCATTGTCCATTAGCCAATCAAGATTAAAGGAAATTCGAAACGCACTTCCGGTAATTCTTTGAGTCCGTTGAGCAAGCGCTCCCTGTGCCCTTGGGACTCGTGCATTTAAATTCCGGCGCATCTGTGGATCCGCAGGGAACTCGTTGTGCATATATTTGTGAGTTTAGTATAAATTGACCTGTTTTCATGCTGTTTATTGCTCTCTTCGTTAAAACGGACACTAGACACCTAGTTTGTCCCCCCCGCAGCGATGGCACACTCTGGCGCCTTAGCTCCCGCTCCTTCCCGTCTCCGGGCTCGCCTCTTCCCAAAACGCATTTCTACCTTGGGGCGTTTGCGAGTGGAGGCTCCCAGTGAGAATCTATTACCGCTTCGCAGACGTTACTTCAAGAGCTTAGATTATGTCTGCGACGCAGGCTAGTCTAATTTATGTCTTGCAAAGTAGTACAATCAACTTGTTACAGTTTTTAATGTGTTTACCTTGGCTTGTGTCGGAATAGTTACCTTAAAATGAAGATTTCTCTAAGGGCTTTTTCCAACAACCAAAAAATTTCGGAAGCGTCGACTGAAAGGTTTATTTGGTGAAGAACGCGTTCTATTTGACCCAAGTTCCATTCCTTCTTCTCGCTCGCAAAAATTCAAGATGGCGACAAAGAAAAAACACCGTGAATACCCTGGAAATGGTGAACGTCAGCCTGAGAAAACAGCCGACATTTCGCGACCCCACCACTAGTTTTCTTGCAAAATGACTTCGACTGACGACCGAGCGCAGAAATTTCATAATGATGACGCGTCACTAACCAGATCCAGGCAATGCTTAACGAATTAAAGGAAGAAAATTTCCCTCGCCGCAAACCCGCTTAGCTCACTTTCTGACACTGGCAGCGCGCTCAAATGTCTCTGGCAGTTTTTCTTCCATTCTTTTGTAGTGTTTCATCAACAAAGAAGCGTCGGAATTAACAGGACCTGAGATATACAAAACACCAGCACAAAAAAAGCTCCTAAAGCCTGGCCCAGTTCCGTTCGAAATTGTTAGATGTTTTCTTTGTATTTGTATAGGTAATAGCATGATTTGTAATGATATTTGGCATAAAGACTACGAGCGATATTTCAAAATTGTTGTACGTAATTTCACGAGCCGTTAGGCGAGTGAAATTTGAGACAATTTTGAAATATCACGAGTCGTATTTATGCCAAATATCACGTACAAATCATGCTATTATTTGTTTATACCACTACCCGCAAAAGTTTTGTAATTTTCACATGTAGGTATTTCAAATTAAGCCGAAATACCACTACTCTAAGCCAATCAAATTGCAGAAATTTCTCATGTAGTAGCATAACTATAGGTATTAGCATGATTTGTAATGATATTTGGCATAAATACTACGAGTGATAATTCAAAATTGTTATACGTAAGTTCACGAGCCGTTAGACGAGTGAAATTTGAGACAATTTTGAAATATCACAAGTGGTATTTATGCCAATATCACGTACAAATCAGGCTATTATTTGTTTATACAACTACCCACAAAAGGTTTGTAATTTTCATATGTAGTTACTTCAAATTAAGCTAAAATACCATTGCTCTAAGCCAATCAAACTGCAGAAATTTCTCGTGTAGCAGTATAATGACCGAAATTTTTGGAGCCCCCAAAGCAGAAGAGTGACGCCACTTTTCAAGAGTGGCAAATTTTCACGAAATTGGATAGGATATGGCGTTGCACACTAATAAACCAGAATTTAAGACCGCATGAATTGCTGAGTAAAAACAAGTGAGCTAGTTCGAATTCGAATGGCAGACTTCATGTTTCAAAAATCCTTTCACTGCTGCCTTAAACATAGGCATTCTACAGCTGTAAACGATAGGATTAACAAGTGAGTTGCCAAGGTATAGAATTGTAGCCACAAAAATTAGGACGTTGTTATCAGTAAGCGGCTTTTTATGGTGAAAGGCGACGACTGTGTAAATCGCTGTTGCTGGAAGAAACAGCCCAATGGACAAACCGACAGCAAGGAACAATGTCCTAGATAAATTAACGTTCTGTTTGAAACCTTTTCGGTTATGGGCTTCGAATGTATGATTTGTGCTTCTTAAGCGTTTCCTTATTGCCAGGTATGCCACTAATATCAGGCAAAGGGATATGAGAATCACTGTGTTTATGAGCAAATATGAAGGCAATCTGCCGACTTTGCCAATGAGATGCGATGTTAAAGGCATCATTGTCAAGCACACGGCTGCTATCCAGACCAGAACTATACTGATGATGTAGATTCGAGCGCTAGCTACTCTGTGACGAAGAGGCCAAAGAACGGCGTAAGCTCGCTCCAAAGAAATCACAACCAGGGACAGGAGCGAAACACTCCAAAACAGCGCACCCAATATCCCTAAAGGACTCCCAGAAAACGCTCTTTCGTGAACAGCTTTTGCTGTATGTATTAGTTCTGTTGCTCCCACGAGAGAATCGGCAAAAGCGAGATTGAGTAACAGATAGTACGACCGCTTTAGAAAAACTCGCTGCTTCCAAAACACCAACACGGTAACGACATTTCCAATGCAGACGAGTGAAGATTCGACAATAATAACCCATGGAAGCAGTTTTTCTACGTTTAACATCTTCAGAAAGTAAAGAAAGACAGTTTAGGGTTTATGCATGTCCTTCAAATTCGCCACACCCGAATTAAAATAACGCCGGACGATAAATCGAGGCTTTAAGTCGACTCCTCTTCGAGTTTTAATGATTTTTTTCAATAATTACTGTTTGCATTGTTCACCGACATCCTGTGTTAAAACAAACTCAATAAATCCTTGCTGAAAAACCCTGTTTAGAAAAAAAGCAAATCATCAATTGATAATGAATGAGTTTTCCACGAACACGAATAGCAAGACAACTGCCAAAATAAGTGAACATGATTGATTAACAGCTTGACTTAAATCGCAAAATTTATTGTATTGCGACCTCCCAACAGGCAGTCAGTCAATTCGAAAACTTAATAAGTTTCTTTGTCGCATCCGGGAGACGATTTCTCTCCTTTGGAAGCGTAATAAAAAGACACGTGAAAATTTTCTTCATATTCTTGCCTACAGGCTGGTTCTCGCTACCATTACAACCGCGACAAAAAAAACACGAAAAAAAGATGATTATACTTTGGAGGAATTCAAAGGCTGAAAAAATCTACTTAAATTTTTAGGTTGTCGGGAATCAAAAGGTGGTTATTATAATCTATTGAGAAAAAAGTAGTTTGTAAATTCAGAAACACTTAAAAGGAAATTGAAAAAATAGATCAGGCTGAGCCAAACCAACTATATTGAAAGATGTGCTGTTGGAAACGTAATGCGTGCACTGTTTATTTTCTGTGCCACAATATTAACAAGCAAAAAGTAATTACGTTCTGGAAACAGATTTTTATATTTATACACTATACATTATTGACGAAATTTCAAGGTTATATTCTTCTCCTTGTCTACACAAAACGTACTGAGGTAATAATCAAGATATTAATCCAAATAAATTTCTCCACGTTATGCTCCTGAACTGACTGCCACACACACAAAAAAAATAAGTAAGTACATAGTTATAAAGGTTAACTGTATATCTAGGCCTGTGGGGATTATCTTCAAACTATTACTTCTTTATCATTTATTTCGAATTGCTTATTAACTCAGTTATACGTTAGGAACGCTATCATGGCCTATAAATGCCTCACTTTTTGCTACTCTGTGACGAAATGGCCAGCGAACAGTAAAAGCACGTTCTAGGGAAATAATAAGGAGACTGAGTAACGAAACGCTTGAGAAAAGGACAGAAAGACTTGCCCAGATGTTTATAGTTACGACTATCCTGCCATGTGGAAGGTCGTCAATGCTGTATTCATCAGTTCAGTTAGACCGACAAGTAGAACAGTCACAGCGAGGTTAAGTAACAGATAGTAAGCTCGTTTGAGAAAACTCATCCGACTGCAGAAAACGAAAACGGTGAAAGAGTTTCCGATAGTGATAACTGTCATTTCGATTGTGATGATAACACTATATACCAAGGCTAATGTGGACTGTATTTCTGTCTCGGAGACAAAAAACAGCGCTGCTACAATGAGATACCAGTATTGACAATATTGCAAGGCAAAAAAACGGTTTTAGTTGACTACTTGACATCGACACATCGCCAAAGCTTTGCAGACCTGGAAGGGCAGCGAAAGAAGCAGATGTTTTGCTCTAGTAAAATTTTCACTGTTATTTTAAGAACTGCGGAGCAGATGTTCAAGTGTCTTTTGTGAACTCTATTCTCTGTTAAAAAATAAGTTACTACGTTTATAATGAGGATAGCAATTTTAATTAAAAATCTGAAATTGCGAACCAGGACTAAAGTAAATCAATATAACAATAGCGTTTTGACTCTATCTATAGTTGATAGAGTTGAATGGTTATGATCTGTCAGCCTCTTTTGTTACGTTTGTGTGGACTTGACGGTGCACAATATTCAATAGCATTCTCCTGATCTTTCATCTTACCGACCAATAAACAACCAGTGAACAAGACAAATGGATTACGCAACGTCAGAGAGCTCCCACGAACATAACCTGCAGAATCGTTATTTTTATCTTTGATGTTTGCTGTCTTTCATAACCAGTCTCCTCTACTTATATGCTCTATCTAGCAAAAAAAAGTACCAAAGGGGACTTCGAAATATTTCTTTTAATTCAAATTCTCTGCTGAAATGGTTTCTTTTCTGCAATGCGATGCATACTTTTTATAACCTATTAAGAGACTCGACAGCACGCCATTAAAAAAAACACAAACAAACAAAGGAGATGCATTTGATAAGCGCAATGTATAATGCATTTAATAGTATAGTATATATGAAAACAGAAAAGAATAGGTGCTAGCTTTTTTGGTTGCTCTTCAAAGTCTTAACATACACTGTACAACACCAGTTTTTTCACGAGTCTTGACTTGTCTTGAAATAACATGACTAATTATAACAAGTAAAACATACAAACAAGTAAGGAACCCATTATCCTCTCTGATATAAATTACTCAGTGAAATATAAGACACGGGAAATCCGCCGCAATGATAGGGGCTATTCATAACACTTAGTGGCTTGGCAAAAAATTAAATCAGTCAATCAGTTACAATGCAAACCAGAATCCTTGCAGCTAATTCTTCTTCTTATCAACTCAGAAAACTTGGGTGAGGGCTGAGAAAACAGTAAAGAAAACTCCCACCGGTAAGTGCGCATGTGTTGCTCTGAAGATCGCCTGAAATTACCACAAGGAACATTTCTTCACCGGGTTCATGGGAGATCCTGGTTTACAGTTGAATGCTTCGGAGAATTTTTCGTAGTTATGAAGCGTGCCGATTATTCTGAAGAGGAAATGATATGAAAGACATTACTCTTTCGCCAAGCGTTGCAACATGCAAATGGTGAAAGCGATCTGAGTTCCTAAGAGAAGGTGCATGGCTGTCCGATAGAAGCCCAGCGGTCTGATTTGAAAGATTAAACGAGAATTTGTTTTCTTTAATAGTGAAAGCGTGTTGGTCCAGGTTATACATCATTATTATTTAGGGGGCGGGAGCTAAAGCCTCTCTTCCCATTTCCACTCTACCGTCCCTGTCAATTTACCGTTCGGCTATCGGCCAACTCGATATTTAGATCTGCGCGCGCCGTTGTCTCCTTCGCCATGTCGTCTTTCCTAAACCTGCCTACCAGCTAGCAGGAACAAATAAGATATGGAATAGGAAACTAAATCGTTCCTTTTTTGATTAAAAAATTGGTAATTTTTCCACTTACATTCAAGAAATATACACATAATATAACAGTTTTACAGTGAGTGATGTAAAACCAAAAAAAAAGATTAGCTACTCTTGCAAACTTTTACTAAATAGGGAACCGATCAATACCGGAAACCACGTCCGGGGGAAGGTGCGCAAGCCAGTTACGACTAGTTTTAGTCGGACCTTCGATTGGTTAAGAGCATGGCACGAGTTTTGTAACCAATCAAAAAACCAAGAAACCCTTCAATAACATTTCCGCTCATACTCACTTGGCAAGCACACACAGTATCATTTTGCACATATCCTCTGTATAAGCAAGTTATCAAATCTTCGGCCAGCCGTTACGTTAGGCGCGCGTCAATAAGCGAGTGAGGTAAACCAGGATAGGATTAAGAATTCAAGGACTTCGACAGAATTTAATAGAACTGTTAATCATGATTGCAAAGTTTACCTATATTTTGGAAAGGAGTGATTGTCAGTCTCCAGTTGAACATAAGCTGCCTTCTTCTTGTACAAGCTACACCAAGGCTAAAAACATAAAGCAATCAATACGGTAAATGATCTTATAGACGCCCACTCTCAAATAAAAGCCTCTTGAGCTATAAACGCCCCTCATACCCTTTTAAGCTTGTATTAGACGCCTCTCTTAAATAAAAGACCCACACCGTAATTTTAGGGAGTTATAACTTCAAAAATGAAGTAAAAATTTTAGGTACAGGATAACCCCTTTTGGGGGGTTATTTTTAATTACCTCCTACTTTAACTCCGAATTTGGGGTCATTTTCAGTCCTGAAAAAGATTTCTTTTTACTCCCAGTCTGGAGTTAAAATAACTCTGAAATGGGGTTACTTTTACTCCTTACATGAGTTGTTTTTACTCTTTTTGGAGTTAATTTATCTCTGAAAGTGGAGTAAACATTTTAGGTACAGGATAACTCCTTTTTTGGGGTTATTTTAACTCCTAAATATCCGGGGTCACTTTTACTCCTGAAAAAGAGTTCTTTAAACTCCTTTTTGGAGTTAAAATAACTCCACTGTAAGGAGTTAAATTAGCCCCACTAGGGGAGTTATTATAACTCCTTGAAATTTACTGCGCATGTGAAAACTGCTCCAAATACTAGGAAATAGGGAAATGGAGCAAAATCAGTTATGACTATTTCGAGTTTTGTACAAGTAAAAACACTAGGGCCAACCATCCATACAAAATACAAACTAAATTAGCTAATTAAAAGTTAACTCCTTTAAGTACTCCTTCTTCGTGAGAATTGTCAAAGACTGGAACAGTTTGCCAAACCATCTCTTTCACGGACGAAATTAACGCTAACAAATTTAAAAAAGGCTTAAAAAGATGGACGAAGATTTTTTGACAAAGCAGCTCGTATTTTAATTGCACAGTTTCATTTTAAATATCATTCTTACTATACCATTTTGTACCTGCACTTAGTCTAATGATTTTTACGCGCGTTTTATATAATTTTTAATATTTTTACTAAAGTTCAGTTAGGGGACCTTTTATAGGGATAACCTCGCGGTCCACCTTTTAAAATATGTATCGTGTATCATGTTTATAAGCATATCTGCATGTATTTGAATGAAATAGAGGATATTACATGGCCGCGCGGAGATACGAAATTTTTCTTCGAGTGTTTAAAAATACTTCACTTCATAGTACCGCTATGAATCTACCCTGAGGGGGACAGTTGTTTTAGTATTTACTAAATCAGTTGGATAAAAATAAAAAAGTAACTTTTTGTAAACAAAAGACGTCACTTAGGTAAGAGTTTGCTTACGTTTCAATTGACAGTGTTTCTGGGATCATTTTTCTATGATCTGGTTGCAAATTCAATAAGGAATTTTTTTTTCTACCGACTAGTAAACACCGACAAACCAGATTTTGTCTCTTTCTTGGTATTTGTTGGTGCAGCTGCTTCATTTACCGCTAAAATTTCATCTTTCGAAAATGTCGCGAAACCAGAAGCCATTTTGAATACTGTCCCAAAATAGTGAATACTCGAAGATATTCCGAGTTACGGGAGCCAATCACAACGCACGAAAATTGCTATCCACTGATTTGGTGAATACTAAACTTTAAGCAATTACCCTTGTATGTGAAAATAAGCGCCACCAAAATCTGCGATTCCTACCCCTAAACGAGACCACATGAGCATCCCCCGCACTCTGGCAAACCACCTTCCACCCCCTGCAACACGGGTATTGAATACCTACTCGTGCAAACCCGATGAAGAACAATTGATCCTCAGTTAATCCAACACCGGGAAGGGCACCCTCAGTACCTTCGTTCTTTACCGATGTTTTATAGGCCTACAGGAAATGGATAAGAAGTTAAAAATTCTCAAAAAAAATTAGGGAAAATCTGTGACTAAATCTGACAATGGACCTCAGGCAAACCTCGAAAGCCAGTTTTATCCCTCCATTGTCTGCGATGTTTTCGTTGATTGTTAAAGTTCCATTTATCTAGGAAAAAATAAATAAATAAAGAGAAAACAAGAACTTTTAATAACACTACCGTGTAGAAAGTCCACTATTTATATCCAACAATGAGGATAGTCGATCGTTCCAGAGGAGGCTTACAGAAATCAAAGACCTGTAATTTTTGTTTATTCTCCACCTTTTCACGCAGCGACCAGCAAGCGATAACGCATTCCTACGTAGCAAAATTTCTGAAATAATTTGGTCACCCTACCTTTCTGCCATAAACTTCGAATTCGGAATATTGCTTTGCAAGGCAGTTTTGTCGTTGAATGTATCCTAGCGTCGTCAGCTGCGAAAACCAGTTGTTTATGTTACCATCCTTATCAAAAAGCCTCCCTACAAAAGAACGAAGCACAAGAAAAGACGTTTGGTTGTGCTTTAGATTGGTTCTGCTTGTCTTTGCATATTTAGTTTCAACCCTCTTGGATGAGAAAACGGCCGACATTTCACGACATCACTAGTGGTCTTCCTGCGAAATGACGTCTGAGAAACGAGTATACAAATTCCATAATGATGACGCGTCACTACCCAGATCTGGACCGGCAGTGCTTCTGTTTGGATCAAGCAAATTTTCAACTAGTCACAAGTACTACCCTGGGTAGCGATGCGTCATCAGTATGGAATTTCTGCGGCCTCATCTCAAACGTCCTTTCGAGGGGAAACCAGTGGTGGCGTCGCCAAATGTCGGCAGTTTTTTGAAATTTTAGTAAATTTGTCCTTACCAGTACTGTCGAAGCCATGTGTAATTTCATGTCCAATTACCATGCCAATACCTCCATAGTTTAAGTATCTGAAAACGGGAAAAGCAGCATTCTAGTAGATATCTTAATAAACTTTTTGGCAGTTCTAAGGGAGCATATCCTATATATATACCGACTAAAACAAGAAAGGCCGAGTAAGAGGTTACTATTGTACTGAGTTTGTCTGTGGGATGAACTTTTTGGGAAGGCGGGGGCATGCAGTACCATATTTTAAGTTCAAAGTTACCAGGTGAGGGTTTCTTCGTTTGCACACACCGATCACAAGAATAAAATTCTTGACGCTGCCGAGGGAAGATTTATTATTACAGTTCCATTTGATAGGGATCAAAATAAAAGGGAAAAGTTACAGCGACTTTCAATGAGGACCAATGAGGACCTACTGTGCGAGCAGAGGCCCTTCGATCTTCCTGAATAATCGGAAAGAGGACGGTCAACGTGCAAGTCCTTCCTAGAAAGATCGAAGGGTCTCCGCTCGGAGAGTAAAGAGGACCTAAGTAATGTTTGCTTTTCACAATAGCGTAGTTGGTCCTAAAGAGCGGAGTAACTGAGGCGATGCATACGTATTCCCTACAGCTCTTACTATCCACCCTACAAACAGGCTCAGTATTCAATTCAGATATTCCACTGTACATGCATGTGTTCACCATTGACCCCACTTGTAAGTGGCTGTGTCTTAATGTGAGATAGGCAGCCTCGTTTTAACCCTCCGATAAACCAACCAGACATCGAGAAATTAAGCACCTGCAGCTGGCGTTGGCGAAAACACGTCAGTTGTTTGAGTTCGTCGACGAAGTGGCGAGAGACGTCCGTCAGCGAATTACAACTCTATAATATTTTAAAACTACTTTAACACCTGATCGATTTTTTTTTTACGACAAATACGTTATACTTACGAAGGGGCTCTTGGATTGTAAAATGGTGGTTGCAAAATAGCAGCCAAAAAAACTGCAAAAAAGAATCGAAACACGTTAAAATCAAAATACCTCAATCCGCTTTAGACAAATTCCTCTTGGAAACAAAGACAATTTAGTTAGATTTGCGTCCTCCGCAGGAGACAGGATGGCAGTTCTCAATATTTAGTACAAGCCGAGGTTGTTTAATTGTATCGCTTATTTTCCAAAGAAAAAAAGCATTGGTATCGAATTAGTGACGGCGTTAAACAAGAGAGGAAGCATGAGGTACATGTATGGCGATGAGCGGGTAACGCCCATTTCAATACTCAGTAGCCAAACTTTCAAAACCTAAAGAATAAACTAATCCTCCTGGCTTTCCTCAAAACAGGGACTAAAATGTTTTCTTGGGGCAACAACACGAAAAATCCCGACAGGAGAAGACGGCCTCATCTCGTTCGGGCAGGCAATCAAAGTGCATGGTTCATCTTGCCGAATGGCAGAACACTGAAGCTATATTATAAAAACCTCTTTTAAGCTGATAAATTTATTTTGAAATCTCGCGTATTTCAAATGGACCAAGCAGAACTCGGTATGACCACATGATCCCGACTGAAGAGTGTGGCTGCTTCGGAAATGGCGTGAGATTTCAAAAAAGCCAATCCAAATGCTTAATGGTGTAAAACCAACGTTATCGCGAAACACTCTAAATTGAAACCAGGTTAGTGATTTGCAATGGTAAATTTACCAATCCGATTTTGTCTTGACGCATAATAACCGTTCACTACAGATGGGCCCAAGAACCATCTACAAGAAAAAACAAAAGAAAATTGAGAGTTATCAGCAGCAATCATCGTACGATAGCCACAATTAAGGTAGCCTGCGCGCAGACGAAATTAAACTCTGGTTAACTCCGTCTGCGAAACAGCGCCGAAATCCTTGTTCTGGACTTCCAGCTGTGTACCCAGATTTGAGTACGCGCCACGATTGGCCAGTTAAAAAAGGCCTTTGTTTTGTTTGTCGTGATCCCCGATCAGGTTGAAGGGGAATTCGAAACGCACTTCCGGTAATTCGTTGAGTCCGTTGGGGGTCCAGAACAAGGATCTCTGCGCTGCTTCGCAGACGGTACTAATCAGAGTTTAGTTATCGTCTGCACGCAGGCTACAGTTAAGGGTGTAAAACTTTTGTCATTTAGACGGGGTTGGAGTTACTAGACTGCAAAACAGCCCGTATTTAAGAGTTAAGTAGATACCTTCTAAACGAACGGCCTGGCACAGGGGCACCCAGCGACTGTACAATATCTGTTCGGAGAAGCAAATATTGCCTCGAATTTTCCATTGCTTAAGGACGGCTACAAATTTCTAGATGACCGTTCCATTCATGTACAATTTTCGAAACTTATGTAATCAACTGCCTACGATTTTCTGAAGCTTAATTTTTCACATTGCACTCCCAAAGTAATGCTGTTTTTCGTAGAAAAAGGAAACCTAAAATTTTTGGATTCAAAAATGTGATTGAGAGAGGAGTCACAAAAATTATTACTTTCGAAAAAGGATAAATTGTATCTAAACTTTTCGGGAAAATAATTCTTAAGCCCTTGTAATTTCGAAAAGACTCAAAGTTCCCTAGGATGACCGAACAGATACAAATTTTATAGCGCCGCTACTACTCTGGGTAGCCTAAAAAGTGCTTTCAAAGTATTTAGGAGGAAATACGTCGTTGGGTGCCCCTGCTGGCGGAGCTAAGGAAAACATTGAGATTCAAGAAGAATAAAATTAACTGTTCCCAGAGGGAAGCCCTGTTAAGCCCTCGGAAACGTATAATCAGAACCAGATAGGGATACCTACCCCTCCCCTAAGCCAACATTTTGCCCCAAGTGAGACGTAAGTGTTAATGTTGGTTTAGAGGAGGGGTAGGTGGGCAGTTTCCCAGAAACGTATAATGATCCAGATCGGAAACACAAAGAGATCTAGATCACCCCATGTAAGGTAATCCAAATTCTGGAATCCGGAATTCAAATCTAGTAATCCGGAATCCCGCCAACAATAAGAATTCGGAATCCAAAGTCCGCTGACAAGGCATCCGGAATATAGTGCCTGGAATCTAGAATCCAGCGCATGGAATCCAGAATCCTTGACCATCTTGGATTACATTACATGAGGCCACGTAGACTTCTGTAAGTTTGAAGTTTGTTATCACGATTCTAGTCTAAATCTCTGGAAGCAGATTCTCGACTTACTCTTCTTTATCAACAGGTTTATCCAGGGATCCATGCGCTTCATCAGCAGTAAACGTAAACGCACGGACAACATTCTCAAAAAGCTTGTCACCTACAGTCAGCTGTGACAACAGATATAAAAATAGGGTTAATTAACCATGTCTGAGCAACTAACCATCGGGCACACATCGATAGACAGCGCTACAGAAGAAGTATCCGTTGTGGACAGTAGAATAGACACCGTGCTTGAACAACTTTCCGTCGGAGCACAATACGGTAGAAACGTTTACCGTGCCTGAGGAAGTGTCCGTCTGGGCACAGTACAACGATAGACAGCGTGCCGGAGAAATTATCCATCGCAACACAGTACGACACCGCGCCTGAAGAAGTATCCGTCAAGGCACAGTACGATAGACATAGTTTCTGAAGAAAGTATCCTTCGGGGCACAGTACGATAGACAGCGTGATTGATCAAAAAAGCAATAGGCTTAATGAGCAAAACAACAACTCTGCACGTGCATCACGCTTTTTTGTACATTTCTTTGCTGTCACTGCATAACTACGACGTGAAATGACCAAATTTTAAGTTTACTTGAGAACAGGAACGGCAAGGCGATATATTCTACCACCTCTGTATGAATTCGGGCGCGGTCCCCTCTCTTCAGCTCCAATCAAAAGGCGAATTGGGATAATCGCGAAAAAGTTCAAAAGAATGTGAGGTCTATTCTTCAGCGACGTTTTCATGGACGTCGTCGTTGTCGGATTGTAAGCCGGGATTCTACTATCGAAGGACACTAAATCTGAGGAAGTATCCTTCGGGGCACAGAACGATAGACACCGTACCGGGAACTATCCGTCGGGGAACAGTGCGATATATAGCATGACTGAGGAAGAATCCGTCGGGGCACAGTACGAGAGACACCAACCCTAAGGAACTATCCATCGGAGCAAGGAAAGATAAACACCATACCCGAGGAACTATCTGTCGGGGAACATGAGGACGATAGACTGCACATCAACGCTGAGTAACACACTGTTTTAATCATTATAACATTTACCCTTGATTAAACCCACTTACAGAGTTTAACAATTTAGGTATAAGTCAAAACAAATCATTTTAAAACCTTACCCCTTTGATCTTTGCAGCTAGTTTTTCAGGGTCTTTAATGTAGCTGGGATATCCTATACTTTCCTGGATGGCAAGGCCCTACAAACAAGAATAGGGAGTCACTAATTATACTCAAATAATTCAAAGTAAGAGTCGACACATTGGAAGATAAAAAAAAAATTTGCTCGAGAACTAGGCATCTCTAACAATACCGATGAAATTCCCAATATAAGCTCCCTCGTGTGCGCGCACGTCCTGGAAAATTCTTCCTTCGCCCTAAAAGACCCGATGCCTGATACACAGGCTTTTTACAGCTTGGACTCATGTACCTTCTCTTTTGCTTTGGCCTTAGAGTAATCAGACATCCATGACAATGTGTCCAGCCTCTTGACAAACTCATCCTTCATCAATTGCGTCATCTTTGTTATCTAAATCAAGAAAAACAACTCATTTCTTAAAAACTTTTCTCCGATCTAAACTGAGTAATCGTGGCGTTGCAAGCGCTAGTTTATTCAGGGGATGAACTCAAATCATCATCTAACTAGCAGTACACACTCGACTGAAGAAAGCATTTTTTATTTTGGATTGTCAGCCTAGCAGAAAACAAGAAGGGGAAGGGGTTAGTTCAAAAGAAACTGTGATGCCGCATCGATGGGGGGGGGAGTGAGAAGAACAAGAATTAAGTTATATTGAGTTAGCTGTATTTACAAGCTCAAAACGTCAGCTTTCAGTGAACCTTTTTAGGGTGATTAATTAACATCATAACCCATTTGCTAAAACCAATTTTATTTTATTCTGGGGCCCCGAAACGAAGCACTACAACCTTTTGGAACCATAAGGAAAGGGGAGTGTTTTCTTAAGAAAACTGGTGGAAATTTTCGAGACGCATGGTTTCTTTCGTTAACATTCCCTCATTTAATTTTGCGGTTATGTTTTTGTACTATTTTTAGCAGCCCCTATAACTTTTTTAATGGTCCTTCCCTAAAATCTTCATTCATTTGACTGTTCGCCCAAGTTTTCGCCTTTCTAATGCTCCCTTTGCTTTTTTTTTTGTAGGGTAGAAGGAGGAGGGTGTTTTTGTATCCGTTGCCTCCCATGCAGACGTTCTTCGTCAGGCTACCGGACAGTTCTTACTGTTGTACAATTTATCGATGTAATCATGGCTCTGACTAGTTGTATTTATTGGAATAATAATTAACTAATAATTTAACGGCTAAAGTTTGTTAAACTGCAAGGCTAGTTATATTCTCGGCGAACTGCTATGAATCACGCTACATTTGGTTTAGGATTCGTATGATCTCAAAAGGGTCATGACCATTTATAATCTACTCTGTTGAAAAGTAATTATGAACAACTATAACTGTTATTTCTTGAATGTGTTGACCATCACCATTTCACGAATGCACATGCATATCAAACACTGATGGATGTTTTCTTGCTGGAAAAGTAACCTTTAAAGCTTACTTGCCCAATGGGAAAGGGTCCACAAAAGTGAGTCACCCTTAACAAAATCATCAACTAAGACGAGCAAGAGGTGGCCCCGAGTAAGTAATTAACAATTATTCCTCGAGCCCTGCTGGGCTCTGAGTCAATAGCCCATGAGGCCGAAGGCCGAATGGGCTATTGACTCAGAGGCAATGAGGGCGAGAGGAATAATT